CCCCCCCCCCCCCCCCCCCCCCACAAGCCCCTCCATTAAAAGAGTTAGAAAGAAAACCAAGCCTATTCAACAAGAACAAGATTTGAAATGTGTAAATATGTAAATTATGAATCACTTTGATATGATTTTTGTAGTATCCCTTCACCACAGAGTTTGTTAAGAAATCCTCATCAGAAGATAAGTACTGCCCCTGACTTCTTGCCCAGTCCACATACTGTGTCCTTCCTCCCAAGTTTTTGTAGTTATTCACCAAGCTCAAAATTAGCTTAATCCCATATTTTCCAGCTTTAGAGATTGCAAAATCCAGTTCCTTCAAGAAACAGAAAAACCCAAAAAAGAAAAGGAGGCCAATAACAAAATAAGGTAAAGAGGCCAAATACTCAATGTTATGACAATATAGCTATTTCTTTTGCAAAAGTGATCATTTGCTAATATCTGGAATACTGCATGATTACATTTAAATATTTCATGAATAAAGAATCAAAAACAATATGGGTAAATAAACTAAATCACGAGCTTGGGAAAACGGAGAAAGATAGCCAATATAGCAGCATATAGGTAAAGGCAAGGTCTGGTAAAAGGCAAGGTCTGAAAGGGCAATCTCGGTCTATACAAATCTGCTGGGAATTCTTCTATTCTGTCTTTCACAGGAGGCTTTTGGTTGCTCAGCCTGTATCTGTCTGTGGCAGATTTTATGCGTGGATTGTTCTGCATCAGATTTGGGTAGAATTGGCCTCATCGTATCCATCTTCTTCATACTTCTGCGGTTCTGCTATTGATTGGAAGCTTGGAAGAGTTGGTTTTTAGCTAAGAGTCAATCAGCGGGATGCAGCAGCTGGAACAGTCACTGTTCACGTCACTGTTCATCTGCTGCCTTCAATTCATTCAAGACAACAGCTATGGCCCTCTGGTTTGATTAGGAAATTATGCTTTCTAGAATAGTTTTTAGTATTTCCATGTAACATCATGCATTAGAATTTTTTAATTCCTTTTGCGTTGTAATTAGATTGCATCGAGAGGTAAGATACATACGTCCCCCTTATCTAGGTGTAATTTATTTTTTTATTGGCGTCATGACTTCATTAAAAGTATGTACATTACCACAAGGCACTTCAGAAAAAGGCAAGGGCATTGATCTCTTAACATAATAGACTGTTGCTAATACATACCAACAACCCAACACCTCAAACAGCTAATATGACAATATTGGTACAATTGAGTGCACCTCAAAATAGACAGAAAAGTATACCAGAAAAGCTAGCCATTAGAAAAAAGTTATTAGTATATGGGGCCTGACGAATAACTTCAGCAAAATGATATATTTGTGTGTCGTTATGGCGTTACTTGCAGATAATGACTAATTATTCTAGCAATGTAACTGAATATCTTATACATGTATTAAACTCAATAAAATTTACCAAGTCCAAATTCACACTTCAATTTGAGAGTATTTGTTCCAACTTCTTAACAATTTGGTCTCACACCAACAACCAAGCCTATAAAAATTCATTTTCACATCTAATGTTCATAACTACCAGACCTTATACCTGTTTTCTGGTGCTTATTGTAGCTGCTAGGCGACAGCCAATGCATGCACTCAACCATGACACCATGAGCACCCGGGAAGTATTAAAAAATTCTTAGTCCAAGAACCAGCAACATAATTTTATGGTTCCAAGAATAATAAAGAGAAAGAAGATGATGTCACCTCAAATGCATTCTTTAAAAAGTCAAGTTCCTTGTCCAAATCATTGATAGCCTGATTATATGCCTGCATTGGAGATGACTGGCTAGTAGTGTGAATCTGCAATATCCCAATCATTCCGTTCATTAGAAGCATACATTACACAATGCATTCTGCCATGATTCGCCAGTTTCTATAACCTCAGACTAAGGAGAGAAAAATTTCAACAAAAAACATACTGCAATAAGAACAACTGTTAAGGCACAGTAAATATTGTTCTAACAATTTGACTTATCAAATAAAGCTCCATCCATCTGATTTCAAAACTCTTATTCAGCACAAAAATAGTTTCAAATTAAAATTCGATGCATAAACGAAGCCTGAGCAACCAATTATAATGAACTGGAACAGATCAGCTGAAAAATGGAACCAACATAACAATACTCTATTTATTTGCCCAAAATCACAGCTTTGTGGACAAACCAAATTGACCCATTGACTCAAGTTAGTAGAAAAAACTACTATTTTTTTCTTCTCTTTGACGGAGCTACTACCCGGGATTACCTACTCAAACGCATGTTCAAACATGGCTTACTTATATTCTACCACACTCTGAAAGGAATCCAAATCTTATAAATTTTCTCATAATTTTTAGTTTTAATGAGGCAAAACATCTAGAATAATTATTTCCCATTCTGTCTGATTTTAATGAGGCAAAAAATCCAGAAATTACCAGCTTAAATCAAATAGAAGAAAAATTTTTCTTGATCTCATGCCTTGTCGGCATAAGTATAGAAGTCAAAGTGATAGACAACAGAAAACATGGTTCTTCAAGAATCAATGATGGGTTCTGCTGCTGAGAGCCTTCTTAAAACTATATCTGCAACTACAAGTCTCATATCAAAAGACACAAGGAAATAAAGAATTCAACTTCTATTAAGACGCCAATCCAATGTGGGCTACAATCTCATGTCACTAAGAATTTCTAAACTAACAAGACTATCACGAGCTGTAAACTTCATATATAATTTGGGTCCAACTCAAACATGGTTCCTACCTAGCAAGTACAATATCATATCACCCAAGAATACGTAAGAATACATATCTATCTATTAAGGCACAATCATGTATATAAGCTAGATGAGTATTAAAACTACAAGAAATCAACAGTATATCAAAACCCAAAATAGCATTTATGAAAAAGATAGTTTTAAAAAAAAATCTTCGTGGCCCACTTAGAAATTTCAAAGCAACTTCCGTTCAAACAAGATAGTTCCTCTCTCTTAAAGTGTATACACTCTCCCACTTTGTAGAAAAATGGATTCCTATGTCTCTTGTTTTTGGCTTGAAAGGGCTTTGAAATTTGGGTTAACAGTAGAATACATTGTATCAGAAAAAGTTACCACCTGAAATCCAACCATTTCCTCCAACACCAAGATCCTCCACCTCCAAATCCAAAATCGAAAGCCAAATACAAATATAGAGAAAGATTTTAAGTGCGATTTGAGGTTTTCTATGGTTCAGGGTTGCGACAATCAGGATTTGGAGTGGCTACCCAAAACGGTTTCTATGTATCTTGATACGGAAGGAGTTTGTGGCTGATAGAAGGAATTTGGTTGGGTAGTGGTGGGAGACGATGGTGGTAAATGGTGGTGGAGAGAGCGAGGGAGAGGAAGCTAATAGAGCAGAGAGAGGGGGCGAGACTTACCTGCTCGCTGGAAGACAGTGGCAACGGCGAGAATAACTCGAACCCCCCTTCACTTGATCTCCATTGAATGCTGTGTGCTGGGACTTTTCTGAAATATCTTATGACGAAGACACGTATTCTCGATTTTACTAAAACATTGTTGTTAAGATTAAGCACCATCGGCGCACGAATGTCCTCGCCTCCGAGGTACCGTCATATAGGATCATGCATTCAGTATATTTTACAACCGACACATGGCCTCGGTCTGATATGTACCTCGGTCGGCATACCTCCCTCGGTCCCCGAGATGAGCCTTTCCTCGGTGCCGAGAGGTACCCCGTCCTGGACGCTTCCTCTACTCCAGGATAAGCTATTGACGTACAGGTCANTTGATGAGACCGCATTCAATGCGGTAAGGCTCGGAAATGAAAGGCAATAAATGCTCCTAATACAGAGCATTTATTGCATCCTCCCCGAGAGGAGTACATTGTACCGTCGGCATCCCGATGGCACATCATTGATTGCTCGGGACCCCGAGCAGTTAAGAAGAGAAGACATTCTCATCACAATCAATGTGCACGCTACCTGTGCCTAATGATCACATACTGACCACACTGACAGCAATCATGAGCTTTTAAGGTATAAATACTCCTTGCAAAAAGCAAGGCGGGTATGCAACAACAAACTCTTTACTACAATACATTCTCAGTGTTTTCTCCTTCCTCTCTCTTTCTAAAAGACTGACTAGATCGTCGGAGGGGATACGCCGGAAAACACTCCGGCGCCCTTCTAACTTGTTCTTCTTTGTTCCAGGAACCTCTTTCAGCCTTACTGGATCGTTCTTCCGTTTCCAGGATCTCCCGTTGCCGTTCCAGGTTACCACCGTACCTTGCAGGCTGTTCCAAGCAGCGTGTTTGGTCACTCAACCAGCTCACTCGAAGTTCACCAAGGGAAAGATCTGTTCTCGTTTTTTATATTATGCAGGATCTTGCACGCACAATCTGGNTTGTCCCAAGCAGCGTGTTTAGTCACTCAACCGGCTCACTCGAGTTCACCAAGGGAGAGATTTGTTCTCGTTTTTTATATTGTGCAGGATCTTGCACGCACAATCTGGCGCCGTCTGTGGGAAACGACTAGTTTTCCTAGTCTTTTCTCTCTAAAGAGCAGTGATCATGGTGAACACTCGACAGAAAGGGAAAGGACCCCACCAAAGAAGTCTCGAGTTACAAGCTCCTTGTCATCACGGAGGGAGGGATACCGCCTATACGAATAAAAGTGCCTCTACTCAGTCAAGAGGGGTTACCCCTCAAACCAGTATGGGAATCAGGTCAGGGGGATCAGCCCCCTTGGCTCGTCAGCTGGCGGAGGTGATTGAAGAAAAGNACCCCTCAAACCAGTATGGGGATCAGGTCAGGGGGATCAGCCCCCTTGGCTCGTCAGCTGGCAGAGGTGATTGAAGAAAAATTTGGCGATAGATTACGTCAGCTGGAGAAGGACAATGTAAACGTCCTTAGCCGGCTCGACGAGTTTGCCGCCTCTGGTGGAGGGTCGAGGGATTCATTCCTTTCCCGTGGGTTTCCCACCCGGGAGGAGGAAACGAAGGACCTAAGAAACCATCTCAACAACAAAGCAGAAAGCTCTAGGGCCCCAAAGCGACCTAGAGCCGGCGAACATCATCATGACAACCATTCCAGGAAAGCAAGGCCATTGGCCCTGGACGACCTCCGGCGAGGTTTGTCTAGACGGAGGAAGGGAGATGAATCCGAGGAGGACTCAACCCAATCCACACGACGCCCGGGAAATGAGGGGCTTACCAATGAACTCAGGGACTTCAGAAGGCATCCCGTCAGGGAAGAAGTTGATCTCAGAGCCCGATTAGACTCCAGGAGAAAGGGTAAGACTGTCCAGGATGAGGCCGAGGACGAAGTCATACAAACACCCTTTACGAGGGAAATCAGTGAGATGGAGGTCTCAAGAAAGTTTGTCGTGCCGCGGTTCAAAACCTATGACGGGCGGTCCGACCCCGAAGCCCATATCAGGCAATACAAGCAGATGATGTCCCTCTATCATTCGGACCAACGGTTTCTCTGCCGAGTGTTCCCTATGAGCTTGGGGGACTCTGCGATGAAATGGTTCGAGACGCTTCCCCCAAACAGTATTGGGTCCTGGAAGGAATTGACTAGGCAGTTCCTGGCTCGATTCATTACGGGGAGTAAGCGCCCCAAAGACATTGGATCATTGTTGACCCTCAGACGGAGGGAATCCGAGACTCTTCGCCAGTACGCCATCCGATACTGGGAAGAGGTCAATGAGGTAGAAGGCTGCTCGGAGGTCATGGCAGCGGCATCTTTCCGACTCGGCTTGGCGAGGGAAACAGACCTGTACCGATCCCTGACCAAGAAGACTCCCTCGGATATGGGGGAACTGATGGCCCGGATCAACAAGTACTCGAGGGTTGAGGACGAGATGGGAAGCAACAAAAGTCGAGCCCTCCAATCTAAGAGAAATGAGAAGGAGCGCGAAGATATTCCCCAAAAGGGATTGCTACCCCATCCAGGGGGTTCGTCTAGAGGAGTTCACACTGTCTTCAAGGAACCCATCTTCAAGTTGCTCCATAAAATCAAGCACGAGCCGTTCTTCAAATGGCCGCCCAGGATGCAGGGCGACCCCTCCACCCGTGATCAAAAGGTTAAGTGTTCCTATCACCGGGATTTCGGGCATCGCACTGAAAGCTGTAGGGTGTTCAAATCGTTCTTGGAAAGCTTGGTCCGAGACGGACATTTGAAAGAGTACATAGAGCCCAGGCCAGAAGAGAGACGAGCCCTTGTCCCGACTGAGGAACCGGACAACATCATAGACGTCATTCATATATGTCCCCTAGAGCGCCTCACGTCCAAGGAGCTCGAGTTCGACCTCAAGAGGGTAGCTTTTACAAGGAAGGTAGCCGAGGGTGATGTGGGGCCATCAAGTAAAAGGGCCAGGACGGGTGAGCTTGGCAT